TGCTCATCACCTCCCATCTCCTTCTGCTCATCACCTCCCATCTCCTGCTCATCACCTCCCATCTCCTGCTCATCACCTCCCATCTCCTGCTCATCACCTCCCATCTCCTGCTCATCACCTCCCATCTCCTCCTGCTCATCATCTCCCTTCTCCTGATGAGCTTCTCCCTTCTCCTGATGCTCTTCTCGCTTCTCCTGATGCTTTTCTCCCTTCTCCTGATGCTCTTCTCTCTTCTCCTGATGCTTTTTTTTCTTCTCCTGCTCTTGCTTCTTCTGCTCAGCAATTCCATTTGCCAAATATTTTTCAGTATTCATCTGTTTAGTTACTAACGGTCTCACAAATTTTAATGTCTACATAAATAAATAGAAAAGGACTCTCATTAAAGACCATATCTACATTGAGAGGCAGTTGACCCAAATCTTAGCCCATGAACCAGCAGTGGCCAGACCATAGCAGAAACATATCCCCAAGCTCTATCAGACCCACTAAACCAATACCTGCACATTTAAAGGGACCAGGAGATTCATATGCATATTGGAGGTCCCAAAGAACAGATCAAAGACATTAAAAACCTCTAGGTAGACACAAGCACCCACTTGGAATGAGTGATGAAAAATATCAAATGTGTAGATCACTTTGGGAACAAGGCTCTATTATTGTCAGGCTTTTCAATCCTGTTTGCTTGCATCTCATGGAGATTGACTGGATATCCAGAACCCATTTTCAAAGACTTAGTGCTCGGACACCAGGCTCAGCTATTTACCCCCCCTTAGAACCCCTTGGTTGAGTGCATTGTCTAACTGAGGCAGAGAACTTTTGTACTACAACATTTTTTTCTTTTGACTTCTTGAGATGCTATGGGCTTAGTGACAGAGAAGGCTCACTTTGAGCCAGATTGTTTACCAACTGTTAGGAAGGGATCCCAGAGAGTATCAGAACCAGTTTGCTGCTTACATCGGTATCTCCAGTATTAAAGGCCGTGGAATACAGACTTCGCAGGACCTCAGTTAATTCTTTTTCCATACATAGAACAGTTGTTAAACAGTCAATACATCTCTGGTGATCTAGTTGAGGTCTCTGTTGGAAATGAACAGGTAATCAATTTCCTATGTCAAGGTAATTTCTATGTATGATGAGGACTAGGTTTATGAGTAAGAAGGCTTTCAAACTTTGTATAGCATAGTGGAGTCAGCTGAAAGTCTTAACGACTGACACCTGGTCTACCTGCAGTCATCTTGATTAATTGATATGGACCTCAGGACTGTAAAAAGATCCTTAGCAAATTTAGTTGCTGCATAGCAAGGGTACTAAGGGCAAAGAACACAGGTTAATAATTATTCCACTGGCTTTGAAATTCTATAATGGTTTGATTTTGTTATGTACTTCCTTAATAAAAATGTATCTAAAATAACATTATACCTGAATTTTCTGTAAACTGAAAAGGATGCTAACCTCTCCAGGGAGAGCTCATGAGAGCCCTGCCTCTAAGCTCTTTCAGAGCATTGGAACCATCTGAGGAGTTTGTTAAGACACAGCTTCTTGGCCTCACTCACAATCAGATTCCTTGGGCCAGGGTCATGAATTTGCATATCTCACCATCCTCATATGGGGCTGAGGCTGGTAGTGCAGAGAGCTGTGTAGCTGACTCATTGAGAAAAGCCAGACAGATTTGTTGTGGCCAAGTTTTAGCCCTGAAGATATTGACTTACGTTCAGTTACTAAGAACATGAATAAATGCCAGGCAGTGGTCATGCACACCTTTAATCACAGCACTCTTCGAGGCAGAGGCAGGTGGATCTCTGTGAGTTCAAGGCTAGCCTGGTCTACAAAGTGAGTTCCAGAACAGCCAGGGCTGTTACACAGGGAAACCCTGTCTCCAAAAACCAAAAAGAACATGAATAAAGGGGGCTGGAGAGCTGACTCGGTGCTTAACAGCACTGGTTGCTCTTCCAGAGGACCTGGGTTCAATTCCCAGCACCCACGTGGCAGCTGAAAAATGTCTGTTACTCCAGTTTCAGGGAATCTGACACCCTCACACCAATGTACATAAAATAAAATTAAATAAATTAAAAAAGAGAAATGTTAAAAAAAATGAATAAACTAACTAGAAAGCTTAAGTAGCAAGCAGTTATATTTTGGATCTAGTAAAAATCCCCAATAGAAATTATCATAATAGAATTAGTCACCTGAATATCCGGAAGGCAGACTTTATTACCTCTACTTATGATGTATCTCATGGATTCTTTTGCATGATACCATTTCACTGCAGGCTGGTCCTGAATGTATGCTGCAACACCGGCCACTGCCACATCATCCATATAATAACCACTCTAGGATTGAGGTGAGAATTTGGGGGAAGAGATGGAAATAGGAAATGTTAAATTTTCAGGTAGGAACCTCATGAAAATAGTTGACTATCTCAGTGGTCATCTAGAAAAGGTCTTTGGTTGCTCCTGGGTGGCTAGTTTGTCCTTTGAATTTCAGAACTTTCTGTTTTCCCAACTCAGGCTGCCCCAAAAAGCAGCCACCCAGACTAGTCCCTAATCTTTCTACAATGCAGCTTTTCTTTGGATCAGACATGTTAACACACACACTACCAGTTTCATCCATTAACTGTGTAGGTCTCTGACATAAGCCTGGCACAGATTTACTAAAAAGTTAAGAGCAGATTTATCATACTAATACAAACATTATTAACGGTGAGTATGAAATTGCATTTAGGTATAAAATTGTTTATTCTGCCACCATTGGTTATTGCCCAAATAATTTTGGGAACTCAACTGAAGAATTGTGTTCTCCTTCTCATAGCATGTAGTTTGCTATCACAGTTATAAATCAGCAGTCTCATTATTGAACCATGGTCTCACCTAATGTTAGACTGCAAGGTAAGAAGTTAGTAAATGTATCATCACCCAGATCAGAGCAAAGCCCTCCCTCAGAGTTGCCCAAGAGACCTACTAACCAAGAAATAATAAGCATCGCTGAGGTTCATCTGCATGCAGGCGATTTTCTGTATAAAAGGTAAAGACTCTTCAGGAATGACCTCCTTTATTGCCCCTTTCCTCTGTGCCATTTTAGCAATAGGAAATTCCAACCATAAGATGTGTTTCCCACATCACTGGAGAGCCTCTTAAATGCTAAGAGGTGTGGTCACAGCCCACTCCTTGCAATGAGATAAAATCATGACCACCTGAGGCGGCAGCTACTCATCCACCAGCAAAGATATTGTGTCTGGGGTGGGGTGTAAAGACACCAAGTTGAACAGAGAAAAATGGATCAGAAGAAGATGCAGGGATTTGTCTTCTAATTCTCTCAATGGTCAGTCTCTCTTCTCATTTTCTGTTTTAAAATTATTATTGTTAATTAAATTTATTCAGTTATTTTACATCCAGACTACAGTTTCCCCCTCCTCCTCTCTCCTATTCCCTCCTCTCACTCCCTCCCCCTCCTCCCACAATCCACTCCTCCTCTGTTTCTGTTCAGAAAGGGGCAGACCTCCATGGGTGTCAACAAAGCTTGGCATATCAAGTTGAGGTAGGACTAACCTCCTCCCCTTTTATTAAGGCTGGGCAAGGCAACCCAGTATGAGGAATAAGTTCCTGGAAGCCAGTCAAAGCATTAGGGACAGGCTCTGCTTGCTAGGAGTCCCACGGGTAGATCAAGCTACACACAACTGTTACACATATGTAGAGGGCCTAGGTCTGTCCCGTGCAGGCTCCCTAGTTATTGGTCCAGACTCTGTAAGCTCCTATGAGCCCAGGTTAGATGTTTCTGTGGGTTCCCTTGTGATGACCTTGACATTACCACCCCACCCCTACCCCACTTCCATCCCCACCACCGGCTCACACAATCCTTCCCCTCTCTCATTTTCTATTTGAGAAGGCAGGTATATTTCCCGAAGAGTAGTGTGAATTATGTTTAATTTTCAGTTTCTTAAGAAACAATGATGTCATAGCATACTCAAATACATGGGATCTGAGAAGCATGTTGAGAACACATATCTGTTTATAGGAAATACCACAACTCCGTGCCTCCTCGTACATAATTGAGCTTACAATGGAATATGGTGGTGATCTGAAATATCACAATCCTGTTAGCTAGAGGAGTAGTACAGATTTCATTGATAAACTGGCACTTTAAGTCAGCCCTGTAAGCAGAAGGAAGATGGAGAATAGAAGAGAGGCCTTTTAATTGCAGCTGTACGAGGCATACCCAGCTGCACCTACAAGATGAGGCTGTGATTTTCCTATCTCCCAACTGGCATCTTATTGACTCCTTCCTTCCTTCCTTCTTTCCTCTTTTTTTTCCAAAGGTCTCCTGGTGGCTCCATATGAACCTATTTCACTAATCTTACGGCTGATAATGGGGTGCTTGGAGGTATGTTCTGAGTCACTGTTGATGAAAATGTGATGGACATGCAAATAAAGCTTAAACTTCTCCATCTGGGAGACCTTTGAGCTAACCCCTGTCTGCTTGAAGTGAACGGAAATGACAACAGCCCAGGCAGGTACGAGACTGTAATCCAAGCTCTTCTGGAGGTGAGCAGCAAGAATCTTGATGTGTGAGACAGTTTTAAAGAAATAGCAATTGCCTCGAAGTGCATCCGCCTCTTGAGGGAGAACTCATGTTCAGGGAAGGAGCCAGACTTTCAAACGTGGGATGGAGTCAAACAAGGTGGCCTTAAAAAAGAAACAGTCACAAAAAATGTCTTTTGTCGATCATTTTTGTTTCCTGACCCAACACTGCCTTTGTCTCCAGTGGAGTCTGAGATTATTCCTAGCAGAGGAGAAGTGGTTTGAGACAGTGCCTCTCAAACCACAGCTTGAACAGGAATCATCTGGGACTTTTGTTCAAATGCAGAATTGTGATTGGTGGAGCCTGAGGTGCTGCCAGGTCCTTCCTGTGCAGGGACACACCTTGAGGAGAAAGGCTTCCAGAGCATTCCTGAAAAGCGTTCAGTAAAGGTTCTATAGAGCACCTACGACTATAGCTGAAGTTTTTCTATGTCCTGTCCCACCCACAGCTGCTCAGACCCCAAGTAAACACACAGAGGTTTATATTAATTAAAGCTGCTCGGCCATTAGCTCAGGCTAACTATTGACTAGCTCTGACATTTAAACTCAGCCCATTTTTGTTAACCTATATGTCACCATGTGTTCTGTGGCTTTACCTGTGTGTCATTACATGCTGCTCCCTGGATGGCGGGCTGGCATCTCCTGACTCAGCCTTCCTCTTCCCAGAATTCTCCTTGTCTGCTTATCCCGCCTATACTTTCTGCCTGGCTACTGGCCAATCAGCATTTTATTAAACCAGTATACAAAAGCATTATTCCACAGCATATGGCACAGTTAGGAATCTTTGAGTAAGATGGGAAAGGGAGGCATTCTCTAGAGACACTGTGGTGGCTTGACATGTCCAAGTTGTCAGATCCTCCAAGGAAGCATTCTAGAGAGGGCCTTTTGGAATAGCTGGGCTTCGAAGGTCAGAACAGGCCAAAAACATGTTTTTAAAAACTTGCTTTTGTTTCATCATATGAGTATTTGTCTGCATATATGAATGTGTACCATGTGTGTGCCTAACCGGTAGAAGTCAGAAGATCATAAAACTTGACTCACAGTGGTTCAGAGCTGCTGTGTAGGTGCTGGGAACAGAACTGAGGTCCTCTGCAAGAGTAGCAAGTGCTCTTAACCACTGGGCCATCTCCAGCCCCCAGTGATTTTTGCACAGATGATACATGACCCCAGTTCTTCTTCCTCAAACCTTGTGGTTCTTTTTAGATCAGAATTGTGTGAGCAATGGTAACACATTTCTATTATCCAACCTACAAGTTAGTAAATCCGAAATTCATAGATTTGTTTCCTGGAATGGTCTGAGATTGTGGGTATTTCTGGGTGGTTTTAAAGATTCTTTCATGTAAACACTGTACGCAGGCATGAGAAACCCCACCTGGCCAGGGCAGAGTATCCCACTCGTGCAGGGAACCATGTTGGTATGCGGGGCAGATGCAGCAGCAGGTTGGCAGGTGACCCACTCCATGTAGGCATGGTGGCAGGGCGATGGCGGGTGGACATTCACAACCCATAAGCTACATCTGCTCAGAAATGGTTTACTGTAATAGAGAGATGAGAAAAGAAAGGAGAGAAAGAGAGAGGGAAAGAAAGAGAAAAGGGTCAAGGGTCGAGGGGTGCACACCTCGTGGGAGTGGAGAGAGAGAGAGAGAGAGGGAGAGGGAGAGGGAGAGGGAGGGAGAGGGAGAGGGAGAAAGGGCTGGAGTTTTTCCTTAAGAAGAGGATTCTATGTCAGGACTCAGGGTGGCCCCAAGGGTTGGATCAGAATATTAACAAACATTCCATGATTCTATTATTCAATCTGGGCCACAATAGAGAACTGAATGTATATTTAAAAACCAGGTTTTTTTTTTTTTTTTTTTTTTTTTTTTTTTTTTTTTTTTTTTTTTGGTTTTTTGAGACAAGGTTTCTCTGTGTAGCTTTGCGCCTTTCCTGGAACTCGCTTTGGAGACCAGGCTGGCCTCGAACTCACAGAGATCCGCCTGCCTCTGCCTCCCGAGTGCTGGGATTAAAGGCGTGCGCCACCACCGCCCGGCCTCAGGTTTTATTCTTTTAATTAGATCTTTGAAGTATTTTGAAGTAGTAAATATTTTGCTATCTAAAACTACACACACACACACACACACACACACACACACACACACACACACACACACACAAATGAATGGAAACATATCACATCTTCAGTAATTATTGTACAAATACGGCAGATTTACAATAATTTTTCTTTTATCTTCCAAATCTTCCGCTTAAAACTTTTATTACATTTATTCATTTGTGGTGTGTGTGTATGTGTGTGTATGGATGGACTTATATGTACATGACATGAATATCAGAGGACAACTTATGGGAGTCAGTTCTTTCCTCTACTCTGTGGGTCCCAGGGCTCAAATTAACATCCTCAGGCTTGGCAGTAGGTGGCTTTGCCATTCCCATAACCCTTTCAAATTTTTATAATTATGTTTTAAATTTCCACAATCTTCCTGCCTCCCATCTCAGGTTAGTGCTGGGACTATGGATGCTTGTGCTACTGTGTGTGTAATGGGGTTGAGAACTTGGCATGTCAGGATGCCAAGTTGGTGACCCATAGGGCCATCTCCCCAGCTTTACTTTTTTGTTGTTGTTGTTAATGAGCACATAATTATGGGACATGTGTGATATTTTGATACAGATATGCAGTGAAACATGATTAGATTGTGGACAATTTGACTATAATATGTCACAAAAAGAATCTTCTTTGTTTGAATCTGTCTTGGGTCCTTTGAACTTTCTAAGCCTGGATGTCTGGATCTTCCCCAAGACTGGGAAAGGTAGAATATTCTTCTAGTAGGTTCTGTGTCTATTCTTCCCTTACTCTGAATTTCACTGGGTTCTCGAAGGTCATGTAGATATTCTTCATTTTTCCTTATTCATTTTTGTTTCTGCTCCCCCCTTCCCTGCCACTTTCTTCCTTTGTTATTTGTTTGGCTGAATGACTACTAAAGGCCTATCTTGAGGCCCAGAAATTAATTTTTCCACTTGACTTAGTCTGTTTTTGCAGTTTTCATTTTTGTGTTTTGATTCTGTTTGTGATCTATAACTCTCTTGAATTTCTCATACAGAGCACAAATCTTATTACATTTTGAAAGCATTTTTGTACTGTGTTTTAAATGAACTCAATTAAAAATCATAATGACCATAAGAAGCAGGTGTTATTTCTAATTTTTTCTGATGGATGAGAAAACTTAGGCTCAGGGAGGAAAAGTAATTGCTTATGTTTACAAATAGCAAAGCCAAGTTCAGGGTAACATTTAGGCTGTTTAAGTCACCTTCAGACTGATGCTTTCATGAAGTGAACTAAAATGCAGATTCTCCTGCCTCTCCCCAACCTGGGGCTATTCTCTTCTTTTTTAAAAAAATAAAATATACAAAATCAGTGATTCTGTCTCATTAAGATTTGAGAACTAGTAGGTGTGTGCTCTTTAATGGGTACACACAAGCATCACACAATGGCTGTGGCTACTCC